CACGCTTAATTGATGCAGACTTGATGAGATGGTTGTAGCTTCCTTTCTCCTTGAAAAGCTGGGAGAAGTGATGTTTGCAATACAAAATGCCTTCAAGGGCTGCATAATTTGAGGGGCTTATAGGGCAGCCACCGTGAGAGCACTTGAAGCATGATTTGTGGTAGGACTGCCCTTCCACTGTTACCTGTCAAAGGTTGGCATGAAGAAGCCGCATTTTAGCTCACAGCACGTTTCACTCAAGAGCATTTCAAGATGATGCCATTGCAAGGCAAAATCAGTATAGCTAGCACATTATTAAGCGTTTCAATGATGTTCCAAGAAGATAAAGTTGCAAAGCCATGCAGTAGTGTTAGCCAATTGAAATTGTATAAGAAATCAGTTATAAGAATCTCGACATCTGACCTCATCTAGAAACCAAAACTTCAATTCATACAATGCTATTGGTGGAAACCAACTCCGACAAGGCAACCCCTTTGGTTATCTCAAAATGTTAACAAACATAAGGAGCAAAGAAAACCACTCACTTCTAACTTGTGACATTGCTCGTCACACGAGAGCAACCAAACTGCAGTTTGGTACCAAAGCATCCGGTACCAAAAAAAAAACCTAGCTGAGCCAATGCTAAATCTCTAAAGAAAGGCTTTACTCTATGTCTGATTTCATCAGTTCAAGAACTCTCCCGGCCAGAAATTTTACGTTCAAATTCTTAAGTCTTACTCCCTTGAAAGAAGGAACAAACAAACAGGGATAGACTCCACAGGTCACCTAATATACGACCTGGAAACAACATATTTCATCAGGAGTGAACCTCATAAAGATTCAGATGAATGTGCTAGGCTGACAAACACCAATAAGTTAGGACTAAACTTTAAATGGAAAGAGGATGTAGAGGAGGAATCAAAGTCTTGAAATTGCAGCAAAGATACAATTCTCACAAAATGACTTATTGGGACCTTGGAACTCTACCTTCTCAAGTGGATAAGCAGTTTTGCCACAAGTAGCACATTTTTCTTGCGTCCCTGAGAACATGCTGGCAGCTTTGCTAGGTGATCTTGTCTGAAACCAACACAAGCTATTGTGAATTAGCAAGAACATCCGGTAACCAGTCACACCCTTACAATGAATTCTTCCCATTTAATCAAACATCAAACACATTTGGTGTTGCAGGGGAGATTTACCATCTCAGGAGTTAACTTCTCAGCTGACTTTGCTGCTGCTAACAATAAAATTAATGGCAAATTAAACCAACAAAACAAAACTATCAAGAAGTCAAATAACAGATTTTATCCAGCAAGAGAAAGACATACGTGACTGAAAATTCTTGTTGAAGTTACCCGTCTCCTTGAAGAGTTGCTCAAAATGAGGCTTGCAATAAAGGACACCTTCCATCGAGGAGTAATTACCCAACTGGAAACATAAGACACGCTGCTAAGTTAGAAGCAGAAACTTCATTACCTAAATCAACAAAGTTGGTTAACAAAATCTATCATGTGAACAACACTCGTTCACAGAGCCTACAACAATGCCAATTTTCTACAACAAAAAATCACCCGAAATTTTCTTTCTTAAAGAAAAAAATAAATAATAAAAAAAACCGGCAGTAAGATGACAATAGTGTCCAAGTTACTCCTTAGTATATTTTTTTATTACACATTCTAACAAAGATCTACTAAATTAACCAGCGAACAAAATAAAATGCTTAGTGACTTCAGTGTAAAAGCAATAAATGGCAACATAATTTGATATCCCATTTGCTTTAAACCTAATCAATGTACAAAACAAGCATGTCAACTATATTTGCAACTACATCAACAAAGGAGCAGAAAATGATCAAAAGCAATTAAA